TTATTGGGAAAGATTTTCTTTAGAAAAAGTTTCGTTGGCGAAGTTTTTCTTTACACAAATTATCTTTGGTGATTTTTTCCTTTAGAAAAAGTTTCATTGTACAAGTTTTTCTTTAGAAAAAGTTTCATTGGAGAGCTTTTTTAGAAAAAGCTTCATCGAGAAAGCTTTTGCTTAGAAAAAGTCCATTGATAAAGTTTTTAGAAAAAGTTCCATACTGAACGTTTTTCTTTAGAAAAGTTTCATTGAGAAAGTTTTTCTTGAAAAAAAGTTTTATTTGGAAAATTATTCTTTAGAAAAAGTTTTATTGAAAAGTTTTTCTTTAGAAAAAGTTTCATTAGGAAAATTTTTCTTTAGAAAAAGTTTAATTGGGAAATTTTTTCTTAAGAAAAGGTTTCATTGGACAAGTTTTTCTTTAGAAAAGTTTCATTGGGAAAGTTTTTCTTTAGAAAAAGTTTTATCAAAAAATTTTTCTTTAGAAAAAGTTTTATCAAAAAATTTTTCTTTAGAAAATGTTTTATTGGGAAAATTTTTCTTTAGAAAAAGTTTCATTAGGAAAGTTTTTCCTAAGAAAAGGTTTCATTGGACAAGTTTTTCTTTAGAAAAGTTTCATTGGAAAGCTTTTCTTTAAAAAAAGTTTAATTGAAAAAGTTTTTCTTTAGAACAATTTTACTAAAAAGTTTTTCTTTAGAACAATTTTACTAAAAAGTTTTTCTTTAGAACAATTTTACTAAAAAGTTTTTCTTTAGAAAAACTTCTTTACAAAAAGTTTCATTGATGGATTTTTCTTTAGAAAACATTTCATTGGAAAAGTTTTTCTTTAGAAAAAGTTTCGTTGGAAAGTTATTGTTTAGAAAAATTTAATGGTAAAGCTTTTCTTCAGAAAAAGTTTGATTGGGAAATTTTTTCTTTAGAAAAAGTTTATTTTTCTTACAAAAGTTTCTTTAAGCTAAAGTCTGATTGGAAAGCTTTTCTTTAGAAAATGTGGCATTGGAAAGATTTTTTAGAAAACTTTTCATTGGAAGGTTTTTACAGAAAGTATGACCGGAAAGTTTTTTTTTAAATAAAATTTCTTTAAAAAGTTTTTTTTAGGAATTGTTTCTTTTTAGAAAAAAATGCTTTCGATAGTTTTTCTTTAGAAAAAGAAGACTTTTTAGAAAAGTTTGCTTTAATTTAACAAAAAAAAAAAAAAAAACATTAATGATATTTTGAATGAAAAAAGCAACTAGACATTATTATTTTTAAATGCTTTCCACATTTTTTTGTACTTCAGATTCACCACAATTGATAAAACTTTGACATTTAATTACTTAATGGCCCCTATATTTGTATAGGAGAACCTAGTAACAAAACAATTCAATTTTAAACTGCATAATTTACATGGTTAACATATGAATGCAAAAAATAAATATAAAACAAAACAAAAATCAAATTGATAACTACAAAAACTCGTGATATTTATATTTACGTCATATGATTTCATAATATGTACACCATTAGGGGTCCATCAGCTCATGCATATACATAGAAACAATGTTTAAAAAAAAATTATGTGTAAAACATGTATTTATAAAAAATAATCTCAATTAAATTTCACATAAAATCCAAGTTAAACAAATACAAAATTTTGAAATGTGAAATAATTTGTTAGGGTTATCAGTCCTTTTATTATCAGTTAATTTAATTTTGTTGATAGTTTTTTTTAAACGTCAATATTTTGCTGGAATTACGCCTAATAAAAATCAATTTTATTAGAACTGCTAACAATAAGTAGTAAAAATTTAATTTTAGTAATAAATTTAATATTTAATTTTAAATATGGAAAAAAATAATAATTTTGTATGCATCTAATACAACATTTACACTAAAAACTTTTTATTTATTTAGAGCGTAAATTGTTAGACAGTAAATAATGTAGTTATGTATGTAAATTAATAAACAAATTTATTCAAATGTTGTTTACTTACAACATTTGAATAAATTTTTAAAAGAGAGAATGCATTAGTAGTGAATTTATTTATACAGAGAATACTTATATCTGCCCCAATCGCTAATACTAAGCGGAAATTAGTTTAGTATTTATATTTTGATTACCTAGTTCAAGACCACCAACAAAATTTAGATTTGGAAAATTTTTAGAAACATATTTTTTACTGCTTAAACCAGTTTTAGAAAAGGTTATGAAAATGATAACCTCTACAACAGCACTATCTAAAACAAACAAATTTATTTTATACTAGTTTTAAATTTCGCTTTTAAATAATTTAAAATATAGAAATACTAAAGAAGAAAATATATATATTTGCCGACAAACAATAAGCTCTAATTACATTTATTAAGAAAAAAAAAAAAAAACAAACAAACAACCAATACGTAACACTGTGCACAAATATAAATGATGGATGCACTTTACTATTAAGCTGAAAATAATGAAAACACATGCACGAGTATAATGTGTGAAAGACTACGTTTAAATATTATCTTCCACTTGTAATCTAATCAAACAACATTGTCATCATATTTACGGATTAAAAACTGAATGAATTGAACGTCAACAAAGCAAAATAAATACCTCCATGTTAGAATTCAATTGTACATAATTAATACACTAGAAATATATAAATAATAAGTTCTTATCAACAGTTTTTAAGTTCAAACTTATACTACTATTGATTTTTATACGACACTTTAAGCACGTTGTTAAACAAATATTTTAAATCCAAGCAATAAATTTACAAAATATTTCATTTATTTCAAATTTCATCTTATCTTTAAGAGACTGTCTTATCTAAGAGTTATCGTTTCTGTCTTAGATTTTCTATATATTCAAATAGTACAAAGTTTATTTGACCAAGTAACAATATTAAATTTATGACAATTTAAGTTTTTAATATTCTAAGATTAAATAGAATTCCTGTATAAGTTCATATATTATATATTTGACTTCTTAGTATCTAAGGGCTTTTAAATGTATTTCGTTAACTTTTTTAACCTATTTTTTTGATTATACATTATTTCAATTCCTAATTGATTGGTTTTAACTTATCTGGTCAGACTGAACAAACTATGGCACACTTATAGAATTAATGTTCAAAAAAACAGATGTTATCTTGATGATTATTAAGCAATTTTTGTTAAAAGATTGTTAAAGTTTAACCGGTTAAGATTTTATAAAGATCCAATTTAACTGGTTTTTTTGTTTTCTGATATTGCATATTAAACGTTTCATGTTGCACACTATATGAACCGAGTTAATTTTCTTTGTAGGCTATTTTAAACAGTTTAATTTTCGATTATATTTGAAGCGTTTAAAGTTTCATACGATTTTATTTGAACCGGTTCAACGAATAGGTAAATATTAAATATTCTTTATTTTCTAAATAGGTTAACTCTACTTCTATTCTGTTCTAAATGAACAAGGAAAAGTTTCATTGTAAAGTTTTTATTTAGATAAAGTTTGATTTAAAAGTTCGTGGTTAGAAAGTTTCATTTTTTTTCTTAAAAAAAAATTAGTTGGAAAGTTTTTTGGAAAAAGTTCCATTGGAGTATTATTTTCGAAAAAGTTTCATTGGCAAGTTGTTCTTTAGAAGAAGCTTCATTTTCTTTAGAAAAAGTTTAATTTCAAAATGTTTCTTTATAAAAAGTTTTCTTTAAAAAAATTTCTTTGAAAAGTTTTTTGAAAAAGTTTCATTGGAGTGTTTCTTTCGAAAAAGTTTTTTGGGAGTTGTTCTTTAGAAAATGTTTCGTTAGGGATTTTTTCTTTAAAAAAGTTTAACTTGAACCTTTTTCTTTAGAAAAAGTTCAAAATTTCAAAATGTTTATAAAAAGTTTGATTGAAAAGTTATTTCTTTAGAAAAAGTTCCATGGAAAGCTTTTTTAGAAAATTTGGAAAGTTTTTCTTAAGAAAAAGTTTAATTGGAAAGCTTTTATTTAGAATAAGCTTCATGGAAAAGTTTTTTCTTAGGAAAAGCTTCACTAGAGAGTTTTTCTTAGAAAAATTTTAATCTTTTTTTCTTTAGGAAAAGTTTCATTCGTAAAATTTTATCTCAGAAAATGTTTGAAAGTTTTTCTTTAGACAAAATTCATTGGAAAGTTTAGAAAATGTTTTATTTCAATGTCATAGTTTGTTCTTAAGAAAAAGTTTCATTTGAAAGGTTTTCTTTAGATTCATTGGAGAGCTTTTCTTTAGAAAAACTTTGATTGGAAAGTTTTTTCTTTAAAATAAGTTTGATTGGAAAGAAAGACAAATTCATTGGAAAGTTCTATTTGAAAGTCATAGTATTGTCTTTGGAAAAAGTTTAATTTTAAAGTTTTCATTGGGTATTTCATTAGAAAAAGTTTAATTTAAAAGTTGTTCTTTAGAAAAAGTTTCAATAAGAACTTTTTCTTTAAAAAAGTTTAATTTGAAAGTTTTTCTTTAAAAAAAGTTTTACGGGAAAGTTGTTTCTTTTGAAAAAGTAGCATGGAAAGCTTTTTTTAAAGTTTGGAATATATTTCTTAAGAAAAAGTTTTATTGGAAAGTATTTTCTTTAGTAAAATTTTGATTGGATAGTTTTTATGCAAAAAAATTAATTTCTAAAGTTTTTCTTCAGCTTTATTGGTAAAGAAAAAGTTTCTTTGGAACGTTTAAATTATATATGAATCAACTTAAATAGTCTGCTACACCATGTTATTTAAAATTTTCGTACGAATCGTTATTATTTGGCTAAATAAGATTTTCCTACAATATTGTCTAATTTTCTGTTAGAAAATTTAGAATATTTCTATATTTGATAACTCGATTAAAAATAAATCTCTATGCTAATATTATAACCACTTCTGCTCCTTATTGCTTTATACAAATCAACCAAAAATAATAAAAACTAATTTTCATAATTAACACCATCTACTTATTTATTTCATCTCTTCATTTTCAAGTACAATATTAATTAGCTTAAATTAAAACAACTCAATTAATAATTCCCTCAACTAATTACAATCTATTTACTTATTTCTATTTGCAGCTTATCGTACTAGCGAAGGCAAACCCTGGGTATTGCCGGTGGTACGTAAAACAGAGATTCAAATTGCCAGCGATGATACGATAAACCATGAATATTTACCAGTTTTAGGTAAGTGTATTTAAGTAACTATCCTTGTGATTGGATGTTTAAGATTTATGGTTAATTAGCGAGTGTATACAAAAGAAATTTTACCATAATTTGTGTGTGTTGTGTTAGAGTGCTTAAACAAATTGTTTGAAATCTTATCAATTAACAAACAAATTTAATTGTGTTATTAACAGGTACTGAAGCGTTTACAAAAGCAGCAACCACTTTGTTACTAGGTGAAGATTCTCCCGCCTTGAGTGAAAATAGAGTGAGTAAACATTTTATGTTTGTGTATGACTCTTTTATAATTTGTTTATTTTTATTGAAGGCTTTTGGTGTACAAACCCTGTCTGGTACAGGTGCCTTGCGTGTTGGTGCTGAATTTTTGCGCCGTCAAATGAACCGCAAAGTTTTCTATTATTCCGATCCTACTTGGGAGAATCATCATAAGGTGTTTATGGATGCTGGATTTGAACAGCCCAATACTTACCACTACTGGGACCAAAGTAAACGTGTTTTGGATATTGAAGGTCTTTTGGCTGATTTAGAAAAGGCTCCCGAAGGTGCTGTTATTATTTTACATGCTTGCGCCCATAATCCCACCGGCTGTGATCCTACTCACGAACAATGGGTTCAAATAGCCGATTTGATGGAACGCAAAAAATTGTTCCCCTTCTTTGATTCAGCTTATCAAGGTTTTGCTAGCGGTGATCCCGATTATGATGCCTGGGCTGTGAGATATTTTGTTAAACGTGGTTTTGAACTATTCTGTGCCCAATCGTTTGCTAAGAATTTCGGTCTGTATTGTGAACGTGTTGGTAATTTAAGTGTAGTATCAAATACTCCTGCTGTTAAGGAAGCAGTACAATCTCAGTTCACTTTATTGGTTCGTGGCATGTACTCAAATCCCCCTGCCTATGGTAGTCGTATTGTATCGACTGTTTTGAATAATGCTGATTTGAGAAAGGAATGGTAAGATTTTTAATTGAAATTTCTTATTATTTTAAACGGCTCTAATATCATTTAATTCAATATGAATCTCTTTAAATTTCACTATATTCGCTATGAGCCGCATTGTTTTTCTCTAGAAAAAGTTTTATTGGAAGGTTTTTCTTTAGAAAAAGATTTATTTTGGAAAAATTTTTGAAAAAGGTTTCATTTTGAAAGCTTTTTTTTAGAAAAAGTTTTATTGGAATGTTTTTCTATAGAAAAAAACTTCATTATCAAGTTTTTATTTAGAAAAGTTTCCTTGAAACGTTTTTCTTTAGAAAAAGTTTCATTGGAATGTTTTTATTGCAAAAGTTTTGTTGGAAAGTTTTTATTTAGAAAAAAGTTTAATTGGAACGGTTTTCTTTAGAAAAATTTCTATTGGAAAGTCGTTCTTTAGAAAATTTTTTATTGGAACGTCGTTCTTTAGAAAAAGTTTCATCGTAAAATAGATAAAGTTTTATTTTTAATGTTTTTTATTAGAAAGTTTCATTACTAAGTTTTTCTATAGAAAAAGTTCCTTTGAAAAGTCTTTCTGTAGAAAAAGATCATTTGAAAAGTCTTTCTTTAGAAAAAGTTTTATTGGAAAGCTTTTCTTTAGAAAAAGTTATATTGGAAAGGCTTTAATTAGAAAAAGATCTATTGGATTGTTTATCTTAAGAAAAAGATTTATTGGAATGTTTTTCTTTAGAAAAGACTTATTGGAATGTCTTCAGAAAAGCTTCATTGAGAATGTTTTTCTTTAGAAAGTTTTCATTAGAATATTTTTCTATAGAAAAAGTTTAATTGGAATGTTTTCCTATAGAAAAAGTATCATTGGCAAAGTTTATCTTTAGAAAAAGCTTTATTGGCGAAGATTTTCTTTAGAAAAAGTTTCATTGTCAAAGTTTTTCTTTAGAAAAAGTTTCATCGGCAAAGATTTCTTTAGAAAAAGTTTCATCTTCAAAGTTTTATTTAGAAAAGGTTTTATTGCCAAAGTTTTTCTGTAGAAAAAGTTTCATGGTAAAGTTTTTCTTTAGAAAAAGTTTCATTTGAAAGCTTTTCTTTAGAAAAAGTTTCATTGGAAAGTTTTTCTTTAGAAAAAGTTTAATTGGAAAGTTTTTTTTTAGAAAAAAGTTTCATTGGAAAGCTTTTTTTAGAAAAAAGTTTCATTGGAAAGCTTTTTTTAGAAAAAAGTTTCATTGGAAAGCTTTTTTTTGAAAAAAGTTTTATAGGAAAGATTTTCTTTAGAAAAGGTTTCACTGAAAATATATTCTTTAGAAAAAGTTTAATGAAAAAGTTATGAAAAGTCGAAAGTTTTTCTTTAGAAACATTTAAAAAAATTTAATATATTTTATATGATTCTATACAAGGTTGTGTTAGGTTTTCACAATATTCATTTGACTTTTAACATTATTTTACTTAAACATTTTAAAGAAATTTAACTTTTCAATTTCCAGGATGGATTGTATTAAAATTATGTCCAGTCGTATCATCAAAATGCGTCAAGCATTAAGACAACGTCTAGAAGAACTGAAAACACCCGGCACATGGGAACACATTACACAACAAATTGGCATGTTCTCATATACTGGCTTAAATGGTTTGTATACTCCACTCAATCAATATAAAATAAACGTTTTTGCATGTCAAAAACCAATTAACTGTTAACATTTTGTTTTAATATGTTTTCTTTTCCTGCTATTTTTAGAAAAACAAGTGCGCATCTTGATTGATGAATATCATATTTATCTATTGAAGACCGGACGTATTAATATGTGTGGTCTAAATGAGAATAATGTTAATTATGTGGCTGAAGCCATAAATGCTGCTGTAACACGTATCGGAAGTCAACTTTAAGTTTAAGAAAGAGAGAGAGAGAGAGAAAAGAAATTTAAGAAATCTTTTGTTAGATTTAATTTAAAAGCACAAAATTTAAACGAAACTGCACGCTAAGTATAGAAAACGGTTTCATTTAGTTTTTTTGTTATATAATCTTATAAAGACAAAATTTATATTAACTAATTTATTAGCTATATAGACTATATGGAAACTAAACAATACTAATACCTAATATAAAATAAAAGTTTAAAACCAAACCCCACTGAGACTCAGCAAAAGAACTTTGAAATTAAACAGAATGTACCAAATTAAACAAAAATTCTTAAGAAACTAAGGAATTTATTACAACAAAGCAATTTAATAAATTTAACAAAAATAAAAAGCCAAAACTATTTAATACAACCAAAACCAAAATAAAAACTATATTTTGTATTATTCAAAGCATTTCTATTTAAACCAAAACCACAACAGCAAAAAAAATATTAAGACAACTTCAAAAAAGCTAATTGTATTTAAATACAAATTAAGATTAACCCAAAAAAGCAAATTGATATGAAATTTATACAAAAAAAAAACTTCAATGTATGTATTTATTTATATAATTGATATTAAAAACAAACAACTAAATAATAATAACAACAACAAATTATTGTAATTCTTTTATATATAATTAATTAAACTCGCTTCCTGTTGGTTTTTTTTTTATTATTACTATTATTGTTGTAGCATTTAATTTATTTACTAATGTGCATTGATTTAGTAAAAGAAAAAAAAAAAAAACGTAATAAAATTTGTAAAAAAAAATTTAAATTGAAATATTTGTTATTAGTATTTTTTCAATAAAAGACAATAATTATAAATAACATTTTCTTTATATGCATTAATTATAAATTATTTTATAGCTGATGGCAAGAAATATTACACGGTGTAACAAAATTACAAAAAGTCCATTAAATCACTATGTGCCCTAGTGCAGTTTGTCGGTCTAGTAGAAATAGTTCACAACAATATTTTTAGAATTTTACTATAAATTGGGAGTTTTCCTCAAAATTGTTGTTAGGTGACGATATAAATCATTCTTCGAAATTTTTTCGAATCGGCCCATAATTGGCCCACAAATTTGTTTATAGAAACTAGCCCACAGGTGGAGGGTATTAAAAATTTTAACTTCTTTGAACATTAAGTCCATTTTTGAACGACACTTTATTAAAAAAGATAATTTTACTTGATTTTTCTTTTAGGCAACATTCCACTAATTAAAATAAGTTATTTTTTAATTATTTAACTTACAACAACAAAATTTACACTATTAATATAATAATTGCCAGCAATCAAGCATTCTTTTTGTAATATTAACGCTTTCTGTCGAAAACAACTTAATTCATGATAACTTTATCCATGCTATTATCAACTCAGGTGTCTCACACAGCAGATCACAAATAATTTATACACTCTTCAAATGCAAATGTTTTTCCCTTAAAAAAAATGTTAATAATTTTTATGTTATTAATTAAATGTTTATTTGTTTGGTTAAAAATTCATGCATAAATACTTATACATATGTACATTAATATATGTATCTGAATATATTTGTATTTATCTGCGGTTATACCAATAAGTTAATTAATTTGTTTGCTATTTAAAAACTACGGTAATTAAGAACATTCATATTTAATTAATGCGAATTTATCATGATAAAAAAAATTTCATTTTCACACAAATTAAATGTTGAGTATTTTTATTCATATTACAGAGTACATGAAATAACTTAATTATACAATTTATCACCTCATTCATTATGCATGAAATATGTACATTTTCTGGCAGCTATGTTTTAGGAAACGGAAATAGTTCCAAAAAGAAATCGAAATAAAAATCTTATTTTTAGGGAAAATAGAAATGTTTACAGATTTTAATTATAAAAGAAATAATTTTACAAAATTTTATAAGGATCGGTACATATGTTATTGACCAAAACATATGTGATCACAAATTAAGCTTGTTTTTTGATTTAAATGCGTTTTAACGAAGTTATAGCAGATTTAATGTTTTTGACCAAAAAATCTATTTTTGTGAGGAAATATGGGTTATCACAAAATAAGCTTGTTTTTCGATTTAAATGCGTTTTAACGAAGTTATAGTCGATTTAATGTTTTTGGCCAAAAAATCGATTTTTGTGGGGAAATATGGGTGATCACAAAATAAGCTTGTTTTTCGATTTAAAAGCGTTTTAACGAAGTTATAGCCGCTTTAATGTTTTTGGCCAAAAAATCGAATTTTGTGGGGAAATATGGGTGATCACAAAATAGACTTGTTTTTCGATTTAAAAGCGTTTTAACGAAGTTATAGCCGATTTAATGTTTTTGGCCAAAAAATCGATTTTTGTGAGGAAATATGGGTGATCACAAAATAAGCTTGTTTTTCGATTTAATTGCGTTTTAACGAAGTTATAGCCGATATAATGTTTTTGGCCAAAAAATCGATTTTTGTGAGGAAATATGGGTGATCACAAAATAAGCTTGTTTTTCGATTTAAATGCGTTTTAACGAAGTTATAGCCGATTTAATGTTTTTGGCCAAAAAATCGATTTTTGTGGGGAAATATGGATGATCACAAAATAAGCTTGTTTTTCGATTTAAATGAGTTTTAACGAAGTTATAGCCGATTTAATGGTTTTGGCCAAAACATCGATTTTTGTGAGGAAATATGGGTGATCACAAAATAAGCTTGTTTTTCGATTTAAATGCGTTTTAACGAAGTTATAGCCGATTTAATGTTTTTGGCCAAAAAATCGATTTTTGTGGGGAAATATGGGTGATCACAAAATAAGCTTGTTTTTCGATTTAAATGCGTTTTAACGAAGTTATAACCGATTCAATGTTTTTGGCCAAAAAAATGGTTTTTGTGGGGAAATATGGGTGATCACAAAATAAGCTTGTTTTTCGATTTAAATGCGTTTTAACGAAGTTATAACCGATTCAATGTTTTTGGCCAAAAAATTGATTTTTGTGGGGAAATATGGGTGATCACAAAATAAGCTTGTTTTTCGATTTAAATGCGTTTTAACGATGTTATAGCCAATTTAATGTTTTTGACCAAAAAATCGATTTCTGTGGGGAAATATGGGTGATCAAAAAAATAAGCTTGTTTTTCGATTTAAATGCGTTTTAACGAAGTTACAGCAGATTTAATGTTTTGACGAAAAAATGGATTATTGAGTGGAAACGTGGGTGATCACAAAATAAGCTTGTTTTTCGATTTAAATGCGTTTTGACGAAGTTATAGCCGATTTAATGTTTTTGGCCAAAGCATCGATTTTTGTGAGATAATGGGTGATCACAAAATAAGCTTGTTTTTCGATTTAAATGCGTTTTAACGAAGTTATAGCCGATTTAATGCTTTTGACCAAAAAATGGATTTTTGAGTGGAAATGTGGGTGATCACAAAATAAGCTTGTTTTTCGATTTAAATGCGTTTTAACGAAGTTATAGCCGATTTAATGTTTTTGGCCAAAAAATCGATTTTTGTGAGGAAATATGGGTGATCACAAAATAAGCTTGTTTTTCGATTTAAATGCGTTTTAACGAAGTCATAACCGATTCAATGTTTTTGACCAAAAAATCGATTTTTGTGGAGAAATATGTGTGATCACAAAATAAGCTTGTTTTTCGATTTAATTGCGTTTTAACGAAGTTACAGCAGATTTATGTTTTTGGCCAAAAAATTGGTTTTGGAGTGGAAATATGGGTGATCACAAAATAAGCTTGTTTTTCGATTTAATTGCGTTTTAACGAAGTTATAGCCGATTTAATGTTTTTGGCCAAAAAATCGATTTTGGTGAGGAAATATGGGTGATCACAAAATAAGCTTGTTTTTCGATTTAAATGCGTTTTAACGAAGTTATAGCCGATTTTATGTTTTTGACCAAAAAATGGATTTTTCAGTGGAAATGTGGGTGATCACAAAATAAGCTTGTTTTTCGATTTAAATGCGTTTTAACGAAGTTATAGCCGATTTAATGTTTTTGGCCAAAAAATCGATTTTTGTGAGGAAATATGGGTGATCACAAAATAAGCTTGTTTTTCGATTTAAATGCGTTTTAACGAAGTCATAACCGATTCAATGTTTTTGACCAAAAAATCGATTTTTGTGGAGAAATATGTGTGATCACAAAATAAGCTTGTTTTTCGATTTAATTGCGTTTTAACGAAGTTACAGCAGATTTATGTTTTTGGCCAAAAAATTGGTTTTTGAGTGGAAATATGGGTGATCACAAAATAAGCTTGTTTTTCGATTTAATTGCGTTTTAACGAAGTTATAGCCGATTTAATGTTTTTGGCCAAAAAATCGATTTTGGTGAGGAAATATGGGTGATCACAAAATAAGCTTGTTTTTCGATTTAAATGCGTTTTAACGAAGTTATAGCCGATTTTATGTTTTTGACCAAAAAATGGATTTTTCAGTGGATTTAATGTTTTTGACCAAAAAATGGATTTTTGAGTGGAAATGTGGGTGATCACAAAATAAGCTTGTTTTTCGATTTAAACGCGTTTTAACGAAGTTATAGCCGATTTAATGTTTTTGTCCAAAAAATCGATTTTTGTGAGGAAATATGGGTGATCACAAAATAAGCTTGTTTTTCGATTTAAATGCGTTTTAACGAAGTTATAGCCGATTTAATGTTTTTGGCCAAAAAATCGATTTTTGTGAAGAAATATGTGTGATCACAAAATAAGCTTGTTTTTATACCCTACACCACTTTAGTGGGGAGGGTGTATTGGATTTGTGCTGATGTTTGTAACATATAAAAATATTCGTCCTAGACCCACCTTAAAGTATACCAATCAGCTTAGAATCTGAGTTTTCAGAGTCGATTAAGCTATGTCGGTCCGTCCGTCCGTCCGTCTGGCTGGCTGGCTGGCTGGCTGTCCATGTAAACCTTGTGCGCAAGCTACAGGTCGCAATTTTCAAGATAATTGGATGAAATTTTGCACGCACGTTTTATTTGACTCAAGGACGAAGCCTATTGAAAATGGTTAAAATCGGTCCATTATTTCACCTAGCCCCCATAGAACAGAACCCCCCGAAAAGGGCTTCTGAGCTCATAATTATGTTAAATATACAGATATATCGATAAAATACGGCATAACTAGAAGTCTTGATAACCCTGCCAAATTTCATAAAGATCGGGCCCCATTTGACCCTAGCTCCCATACAAAGTCCCCTTCAGAAAATTACTTGAATGTCCCAAATTAACTTATAAACACATATATCGCGATGAAATTCAGCACAATAAAATATTATGTTAATATAAATATATTCACAAAATTTTATCGGGCTTGGTCCATATTTGCCCCTAGCCCCCATATAAAGCCTCTTTCAGAAAATTAGTTTTTCATCCATAAATTGCTTAAATGTATCGGAACAAGGGAATATTGAAGATAAATGCGATATTATGAAAAATAAATCACATTTAATAT